TAGACAATGACTAAAGTTGTACGTGTGGCTTATTGTACCCTCGTTGATATGTTACTGTAAACCTTTCCGTAAAATACAGACTGCAGATACTTTAATAATAAAGGGAAAACCCCGACCAATGAGGTCATTCTATAAACCGTAAAAAAAAAAAAAAAACAAATTCAAGTTCTTTATATATCTGTTAAAATTCTATTTGTATTTTCTAATTAAAACTATATTTAAAACTGTTTGACCTATACTGTCTTGTTGTATTACCTATATATAAAAATTTGTTTAACACATGCTGTCTTCTTGTGTTTTCTATATGGTGGTCTTGTGTTTCTTATATGGTAAGTCTTTGTTTTCTAAAAATAGCAAACAAGATTTTGTTTACTAAATTGCAATATAACCATATAGCTTTATTTACTTTCTATTTTGTTTGTTAAAAATATTGTTTTTTAAAGATTTTGGGGCTTCTAAAAATAAAAATTTTTATAATGTTCTGTCAACACAAATTTTTTGTTTGCTTTCTTCTCTTAAAATGTGAGATCACTGAACTTCATATATTAATTTGTCTAAAATTAGCTTCTTTTTGTTTTAATTGTTCATCTTTTTTCTATTCTGGCAATCATATTGTTGCTTGTGATTGTTTTTCTGTATGAATCTGTTGTTTTTCTTTCATGGCTAGTTAAGTTTTCTGTTATTTAATCACTTGGTTTTTTGGCATCATTAGATTCTAAAAATCTTTTTACTAACAGCTTTTGTTTCTTATTTTCCTTTGTCTTTTTCTTTTCTTGTTTTTATAATTTTTCTAATACTCTGTCTCTTTTCTTTTTGTAGTTTATCAAAAAACTTTTATCTTTACTTGTTGCTCTTCTTGTCATTTATTTTGCCATCATTCTAAAGTATATATATTTGTTTTGGCCATGTGCTGAGTTCTATCTTATTAGATACTTGGAACTTGCTGGTCTTCTACTTTGGTGTATTATATATTTGGTCCAAGTAGATATTTTTTCCTTATATATTTCCTCTTTTCTCTTCAATACTCGTGGTCTTTTGTGCAAGTAAATTTAGGAACTTATCTTTACTAGTATTGCAAGTAATAAACTTTGCTTGCTATATTCTTGAAATAAGGGCCTTGCCAATTCTTTTTTTTATTTTTTCAAGTTTATATACTTAAAAATCAGTGGTTTCTAATTAAGTTTGTGCCTTAAATATCTTGATACAAAAAAGAAAGTTCAGTTCATAGTTATTTGATTAGAGACATAACAAAAATCAGGTGATTTTTTAGAGGGAAGGGGTAAAAAAGTAAAATTATATATAAGAACCTGATTTTTTTTTATATTAAGAGGAGGGGAGGGAGTAAGCCTCTGATAAAAAATAATCAGGTAAAAAATGACACTACCCTTACTTTGAATAACCATGTTATAAATTTAGAAACAGAAGTATTTGCAAGAAATCTTTCAATTTTGAAAGTAGTAAGTGAAAGATTTTTCTAAAAGACTCAGCTTCAGATAGTTATTATCAAGAGAGATAGATTAAGAACTCAAGTAGCGAATTTAGAAATTGAAATCAAAGAATTAAGGAGTAGGATAAGAGAATACAAGAGTAGAAATTATTTTTGTAATATTTTATAAATAGATAATATTAAAATAAAAATTTTTAAATCTAATTCTAATAGTAATAATTAATAAAATTATAATAATTAATAAGTAAATAAATAATAAATAAATAATATTATTATAAATTAATAAAATAATAAGTAATAATGCTAATTAATAAAATAAATAAAATAAATAATAAATCTTTTAAATTTTAAGGTTTAGGTAGTAATAAAAATGGGAATAGGTAGCTTAACAGGTTCAATGGGCTTTTTTTAGAAATTAAATTCGGGCTATCTTTTAAAATACTGGTCATGTAGTAATTTATTATATAACTAGTATTTTAAAAGATAGCCCAAATTTAATTTTCAAAAAAAGCCCGTTGGGCCTGTTGGGCTACCTATTCCCATTCCTAGGTAGTAAAGTATTAATAACAACTTGGAGTTCTTAATATTGTTGTTCATAATATCGAGCAAGTCTATTACTATTATAATATTTTTGTAAAACTTGTCCTTTATTATTAATAAGTTAATAAGTACTATTACCAAGTTTAGAATAAATAGTAAAAGGTTCAATTCTTTTATCTTCAAATTTTACAGAATGTGATACTTCTATGTCTTTTTTTTAGATCTAAACTTTGTCTTCAACTTTACATTTTTCTGACCTTAGTCATTTTTCATGTTTTTCTTTTTGTTTCTTCTAAGAATTTTCTGTATTTTTCTTGGCTTGCTCTTGTACTTTTGTTAACTTATCTATAAAATTAAAAACTTGAGATAAAATATTGTCTTATAAGTTTATTTCTGTTTCTGTTTTAGTAGTAGAGAGAATTAATTCTACCAGTAAAATAGCTTGTCTTTCATATACTAGCTAGAATAGAATATATTCTGTAGTAGTATACTTTTTAGTTTGATAAACAAATAATACTGCATACAAATTGAGATCCCAGTCTTCACTTATTCTCACTTTTGCTAGCAATTTACACAAAGTTCTATTTAATCTTTCTACTATACTATTAGTTTGAGAATGATATAATAATAAAAACTTATATTGAATAAGAAAGTTTTTACATAAGACTTTGATTATTTTACTTCTAAAATTTTTTGCTTGATCAGAGAGAATACCATAAAATGCTGACTCTTGTATCCAGATATATATATTGCTAGTATTGTACCCAGAGTACCAAAGCAGGGGGATACATTGTATTGGTGGGGTATAAAATTCAGAATACGTATTTTGTAAATAGTTAATGTCATGCTATAGAGTCAAATAAATTAATTTAAAATTTTCTTATAATTAACATTATAATGTAGAGTCAAATAAATTTATTAAAAATTTCTGTCATATTGTAGAGTCAAATAAATTAATTAAAAATCGACAAATAAAAATTATAAAATTTTTCTAATTTATAATGGCGTTATATTGTAAAGCTGATAAATTTATCAATATAAGAGCTACAAAATTTTTTGAGTATTTACTAATGGTTTTAAAGAAAATAAATATGAAATAGGCTTGTATTACTAATAAAATTTGTCGAAGTTGGTGTGTTCATGAAAAGCTTATAGTTGTTTATTATTTTGAATACATTAAAAATGTGTAATAAACAGCTAAAGAGTTTAAAATCAAGCCTAAACAAGTTCATGATTGGTGAAAAAAAAAACAAGAACTTCTAGATGCTTTATCTCATACTTTATCACTTTATCCTGGTCGTTCTGCACAATATCCAATTCTTGAAGAAAAGCTTTTTAACTAGGTTAAAGAATTACGTGATAGACAAAATGCAGCAATATGAAATATGACAATCCATAAAGCGAAGTTGTTATCACAAGAGGAAGAAATCAAAAATATTTACCCTAATCTTAATGAATTTAAATTTTCTGATCGATGGTTGTATAGATTTTTACATTGTTATAATCTTTCAAACTGTCGTCATACAACTACATCACAATGTCTTCCTGAAGATTATATTGAAAAACAAACTGAATTTTTAAGCTTTGTTGTATTTAAGCATTATCAATATGTGTTTTCTCTAAAATATATTAGAAACATGGATGAGACTTCAGTGGCATTTGATTTATCTAGCTCAGTAGCTCTTAAAAAATGTGATAATAAAACAGTTAGTATTCGGACAACTGGGCATGAAAAAACTTGTTTTACTGTAATCCTTGGATGTCTTGCCAATGATACAAAACTTCCTCCAACCTGCATTTTTAAGCTAAAAAATATTTCTTGTAAAATTTTTTCTGATGGAATTGTTATTAGAGCTAATCAAAGTAGGCGGTATAATGAAAATGAAATGAATTACTAGATAAATATAGTTTGGACTCAACGCAATGAAATGAAAAATCTGACCTCATTACTGATTTTAGATTCGTTCAGAGGTCATATAGTAGATTATGTCAAAGAAAATTTTAGACAAATGGAGACTCATATTGCTGTAATTCCGGGTAGATTAACATGTAAACTTCAACTTTTGGATGTTTCTATCAATAAATGCTTTAAAGAAAATGTAAGTAAACATTTTTATATTCATAAAATATTTAAAATTTTTAATATTTGTAATTATAGGTACGATGTCATTACAATAATTAGATAGCTAAAGAAATTTATCAATTAACTCCCACTAGACATATTCGCAAATCAGTATACTCAATTGTTGCATAGTAGGTTAAAGAATCTTGGGAAGAACTTAGCTCTGACTTAATTAGAAAGTCATTTAGCTGTTGTGGTGTTTTTGTGGAAACAGCTCAAGATGAACTAGAAGATGAAGATGATTATTTAATAAATACGGATGAAGCTTATATTGATGAAGTTACAATAATTAATAATATCGATAGAGAATTATACAAAGAAGTAAAGGGTTATAAAAATAATTGAGAAAATTAGCATTATTATTGTGCAACTTTGAAATATATTATTAGCGTTAGTATTAAAAACTGATATAAATAAATTGTGCAGCTTGCAATATATTATTACATATATGTAATTTATAATAAAATATTTTTTTGCTAAATTGTTTACCTGTTATGCTTAAACTGTATATGTATATGTAGAGATGGGCACTATACAGCATGGTGCTTAATCATCACATATTATAATTTATGTAAAAATTAACGTCTGATATGATTTTCATAATTTTAATCATGTAACAATTAAATACCATGCTGCATAGTACCCATCTCTACGTATATGTTCATACATATAGACCCGGGTACTTCATATTGAAGTAAACAATGTATAGTACCTGAGTATAAATCAAAATTAAGCCACTAAATCTCACTAGGTATAAATCATAGGGGGTACTTGAGTCAGCACTTTACGGTAGTTTTAGAGATTTCATGTTTATACACTATCTCTTCAAAGATAAATTTAGCAAGAGTTAGAGCTCCTGCATCTGGTATAGCTCGGGCTTCTAGCCAATATATTAAATAATTAGTTATAATAATAATATATCGATTATTACAAATGGTTATAGGTAGGTTCCTATTAAATCAATTCTAATTCTTTCAAAAGCTTGTCTTATTTTAATAGGATATAGTGGTTCTTTTTTCTTAGATTTATCTTTTTTTTGGCAAATTTTACAGGTCTTTATATATTTTTTAATATCTTAATATATCTGGTCCTAATAGTATTGTTTTGCAATTTTATGATATATAATATTTATTTTCAAATATTTAGCAATAGGATAACTATGTATTATGTATAAGATAGAGTTTACTTTAGTCTATTTAATAACTTTAAATGGTTTGTTTAAATCTTGTTTGATTTTTTTGTATAAATATTCATTTTTAATTATAAAATATTTAGCCTGATTTTGAAGTTGCTTCCATTAATAAGTAGTAAAGTCAAAAAGTAGAGTATCAGAATTTAAATAATTAAATAAGTTTTAATATTGATTTAAATTTATTATTAAAATTCTGATTGATTAGAGTCATAAGAAGACATCTATATTAGAGTGAATTCTACCCGATTTGTATATAATAGTAAAGTTGTATAGTTGTAATTTTAAAATCTATTGTCCAATTTGTTCTTTTAGTTCTATAGTTTTAAGCTATTTTAGTACAAAGTGGTCAGTTACAAGAGTAAATTCAGTAGCTTCTAAGTAGCTATGAAAATATTCGATAGCTTATACAATGGCAGCATATTTCAGTTCTATTATAAAGAAATTTTATTCTGCTAATACTAGACTTTTACTAGTATAAGCAATAGGATATTTCTTTTCATCTCTATTTTTTGACTTAAGATGGCTCCAAGGCTATGGTAAGAAGCATTAGTAGCAAGAATAAACCTTTTTCTAAAGTCAGGGTAGGCTAGAATAGATACAGTAGTTAATATTTCTTTAAGAATATCAAATACTTTTTGCTATTTGTTTCTTCAGTAGTAAGGCTCATCTTTATAGAAAAATTGGCTCAAAGGTTAGGCTATAGCAGAGAAGTTTCAAATAAATTGTTGATAATATCTAACTAAACCAAGAAAAGATCATAACTTGGTAGTGTTCTTTGGGTTTGAATTTTTTAAACAGTTTAAATTTTTGAAGGGTCAGAAACTATTCTTTTAGAGCTAATAATATGTCTGAGAAATAGCAAAGATTTCATCCAGAAGTTGCATTTCTTGAGATTAAGTTTTAATTTTATATCTCTTATCTGTTGAAATACAATCTTTAAATGTTTCAAATAGTTCTTAAATATTTATGAATATATATTGGTATCATCAAGATACACAACTACAAACTTCTAGACAATTTTCTTGTAAACTTGATCTATAAGTTGTTAGAAAATAGCAGGGCATTATACAATTTAAATATCATTATATTAAACTCATAGATACTATATTTGATAATAACAGCAGTCTTCTCTTTATCTTTAGAATCTATCATAACTTGCCAGTATCCACTAGCTAAATCTAAAGTTAAACCTATTGTAATCCTGAGAGGGCATTTAATATTTTTTGGATTCGGAATAGTGAGTAGACATTCTTTTTAGTAATACTGTTAAGTTTCTTATAGTTAACACAGAATCTTAACTTTCTATTTTTCTTTTGTACAAGAACAACAGGTGATACCCAAAGGCTTTCTGAGAGTCAGATAATATTGCTGTCTAACATCTGTTTAATTTCTTGTTTGATAAATTTATATTCATCTGAAGGGATATTATAAAGTTATAGTTTGATAGATGGTATATCTTCTGTATAGATTTTATATTTACTTTATCTGTTCTGCCAAGTTCTATAATATTCTTAGCAAACAGATCAGCAAATTTTTCTAACAAGATTTTAAATACTTGTTCTTGTTCTTTTGTAAGTGGTTTTACATTTACAGTATCTGTCTTTTCTAATATATATTTCTTATAAGAAATTAAAGTATCTATAGTATATATAAAATTGTATTTAAAAGCATTAGCTTGCAAAGCCTATTGCAAAACTTCTTTTTCTGTTGGCAATTCTTCTAAATCTTTAGATAGTTTTTCATCTTGTCTAGGATAGTTCAAAAATTTTGTTATGTAAAAGCTATATAAGCATAGTAATTAGCTCATTTTTGGTGATATTAAATTTGTTAAAAAAATTCTATTATTTTTTCAAAATTTTTTTTCAAGTATTAAATTCTGGCTTCTAAGCAAGCAATAACTTGGTCTTTTTCTTCTTTATCATTTTCTCCTCAAAAATAGTATCCTTACTTATCTCAGGTTGTTCTACAGGATATGACAAAAATTAGGTGATTTTTTAGAAGGAGAGGGGTAAAAAATTTAAAATTATATATAAAAACCTGATCAAAATATATAGTAAGAGGGAAGGGGAGTAAGCCTTTGATAAAAAAAATCAGGTGATAAATAATACTGCCCTACTATAATAATGTTATTTTGAGATATTTCTTTTATTAGTTGTTGTAAATTAACAATATCCTGGTTTATTTCTTCTATATATTGTGCTATGATTACAATTTTATCATGGTGTATATCTTTCATGATTATTTCTTCTGCAGAAGAGAGTTTGTTTTTCTCTTGTTCATTACAGAGATCTTAGTTAGCCTCTAATTTGGTACTTGTTTAGCAAAGAGATACTCTTGGCAAAGTGCTACTTTTTTTTTAAAAATTTTTTTCAAGTTTTCAAGTGCTTTGTAAGTATCAAGTCAGGTTGAGAGATATTAAAAAATTCATTTAAAATTTGTTGTAAGATGGTCTTTTCTTCTTTTGTAAGCAATACTTGCTTTACTCGAAATAGAATAGTAATCTCTTCAAAAGTCTATTTTTAGTTATATCTATTATTTTCTTGCTCTTCTATAGCTTCTTTTATGCTTTTGTATTCTTTATCGAATAAAACTTTAACTAGATAGTAGATTTAGTCTTGATTTAAATTATACTGATATCTAGCATTCCTAGTAGACTCAGTATAATACCTGATTCTGTTTCAAATCTTATAGTTTAGATTATATTAGAGGTCTATAAAAATTCTATAAGTATATATGTATTTTAATTCACAGAACCACAATTCTTTTTATATGCTTTCTATGTTATGCATTCTTGATCTGGGTTTTTGAATATTACAAAGTTTATATCAGACAAAGGTTTCTTTACCAATTCCTGTATCATAATATTTTTGGTTTCTGAGATCTTTTGGGTTAAGAGCTTTATAATAAGTTTTATAACAAGCAGTACAAGCAAGTTTTTCTTCTAATTTATATAATTTATTAGGTTGTTGAGAGATATAACAATAACAACAATAATGGGTTCTCTTTTTACTATAGTAGGTCATTTTTCTTTCTTTTATTTGGTCTTTGTCACAACCATATTTGTAAGTTAAATTATCAAGTTTAAGTTGAGCAAGAGGGCAGTTAATCTCAATATAATCAAATTTAGGATAGCCATAATATTGGTTATCAGGACAATTCTTGAACAAGTGAGCAGTTTGTTTACAAGTTCTATAGTTATTTGATCTTTCATACTTATTAAAGCAGTTAATAAGTACATATCAAATTTGTTGCAATAATAATATTAATTTCTAAGATAATTCGATAATTCTTGTACTAATAAGTAGCTTGACCACAGGTTTTGCAAGGTAGTTTTTTTTGTTAGGGTTAATAGATAGTCTATCCTTGATTTTTATCTTCTGAGAATACAGATAATGCATAAGCTTCATGGAGTGTTAAATATTTCTGTTCATATATTTTTTTACTTTAGCGATCCTACTTTTATTTATTAAATCGCAGTAAATTACAAATCTGCTCTTAGTTAGCTAAATCTACATGCAAATCGTTAGGGGGCTTCCAGAAATCAGCTGATTAGGGTTTACTAATAAATCGTTCGAACCCACCCCCACCTCCTCATCTGCTAGCCAATCAGATTTCACGTTTATTAAAACAAATAATTAAAATTATATAATATTTAATATTGAATAACTTTTGATCTACTGAACCAATTTGGATAATTTAACTACCAAAATGATTCTCTCATTAAGAGGATTCTAACAAGTCCAAAATTATAAAAATCCAATCACTAGATGCTAAGATATAAATAGTTTTGTATTACTATATAAT